TGTGCGCAAAAACACCAGGGGTGGGCATGGGGACAGCGAGGTGTCCCTTCTCCGGTGGGACCGGGCAGGGAGAAACGCCTGGCGCCGTTTAGATGGCGTGAACCGGCACACGACTCCCCACGCGAGCCTCACGGCAGCCTTATCTCAATTCATATTTAAGACATATTTTTCACCTTCATGGAGAACGCTGTTCCAAAACCTCTTCTGGGCGCAGCCCTGACTGTGCACGGTTCAGCCCTGAGCCTGGGGATGGGCAGAGGACTGCCCTTGATTGCACCACCAGAACTGGCATAGGAGCAGCCTTGCCCGTTTCTTCTGCAAGGGTCTTGTTTATCACTTTAAATAAACTAGCCAATTGTTTTGTTGAAGACTAGCAGACAGTAATGAGGGACCACAGCACAGCTGCATGCTCCCAACAGCCACGGTCAGACAGCTGGGGGAGAACCAGCATCTCTGTGTGTCCCCTGGAGCTCTGCCAAGCCACTGGTCACCTGAATACACCTCTGAGCTCCGTGGCTTAACCACCTTCTCGTTTAAGGCAGGATAAATATTATCCCCTTATCGCAGATTGATAATTTAAATGTCGAATAACCTGTACTGTAGATATATAGCGATATATATCTATACTACACTATATAGTGATCACTGGGGCACCGCACCAAAATTGCTTTGCAGGGTGGTGTTGGACTTAAGCACCTTTGAATTCACACCTGGTAGAGAAAAACCCCGTTTTGCAAGCATTGCTTTTTTTTCCAGGACCCTCATCAGTCTTTTTCTTCGGTTCCTGGGACCTGTGCCTCTGGCCGGGGGGCTGCAGCCCCTGCCCAAGGGGTGCAGGGAGGGGTACCCCCCCTGCTGCCCTCACCCCCAGGCAAGCAGGCAGGAGATCAGCCGCGGTGTGTGTAGCCACATCCTCACTTCACAGGTACCTGGGCTGCCCGGGCTGGGTTTGGCTCGGCCACAGCGGCTTGCGGTGCCGCTATGTTTCCATCTCTGAAGCAGTCCTGGCTTTTCTGGCTCACTTTGGTTTCGGTGCGAGCTCAGGGAGCAATTTCTGCATTAACTTGCAGCTGGCCAGAGGGCTGGCATCAGCGGTGGTGGTGACTCTGGAATAATTATTCATACGCTAAATATTTAGCCCATACCTATGCGTGGGCAGAACCTGGGCCTCGTTTCATATTCAAAAAAGTAGTTTTTGAATCCTTTTATATTATTCAGGTGTCATTATTTTTTAAATTACTTGGTGGTTTGTTGTTCTGTTAGCATGGTTTTCAACAGAGACAGAGGAGAGCAGTTAGCTTTAGGTAAATGTGTCTCACCTTTATTTCTCTTCCACTGTTTCCTCACTTCTAATAACTCAAAATTTCTCCTCTGGCCCATACTCCAGAAGCA